AGAGAACTTCGGAAGAAACTCCGTCCGCTGTCTAACATTTGGAATGATGGGCCGTATTGCTATTGGGTTGGAGTGACTTGTCAGAACGTGTTTACGGGAACGGGGGTACGTGTGGATCTGCAGATGATGGGACTCCGCGGTAGGTTACCGGATATTGATCACCGTGACGGTATCCCCTCTGTTGTGTATATTGATCTTTCCAACAACCCGGGTATTGAGGGGAATTTTCCCTCCTCGTGGGCTCAACTAAAACAACTTGAAGTCCTGCGGCTGGGATGGACAAGTTTACATGGTGGTATTCCAGATAGCTGGAATGGGATGACATCTCTGCGTGAGATAGTGGTGCGGGGGACAGCGGCATGTTTGGGATTACCTAACTGGAGTGTACATTCTATGCCATCACTGAGAAAAGTGGACTTTTCCTACAACAACATGCATGGTCCCCTGAGTGCATCCTTTGGTACATTTTCACTTTCCCTAAATGAAGTATCATTTGTCGGTAATGAATTCTGTGGATGTATCCCAGAAACGTGGTCGAGTTTCACTCCCCTATTTGATGCGATAAAGTTGGCAAATCCAAGTCTTTCTACAACGTATCCCTGTCCCTTCTGCTTTTCAATAACGGAAGGATGTTTCAGCCCTCCAAATTCAGGAGGTCCCATGCCAACATCTTCAGTGGCCCCTTTACCATCAAACAGTCCAGGAAGTGGTGGTAATGGTAATGGTAACGGTGAAGGTAATGGTAATGGCAATGGTAATGGTGAAGGTAATGGTAATGATGGTGAAGGTAATGGTAATGGTAATGGTGAAGGTAATGGCAATGATGGTGAAGGTAATGGTAATGGTAATGGTGAAGGTAATGGTAATGGTAATGGTAATGGTGAAGGTAATGGTAATGGCAATGGTAATGGTAATGGTAATGGTGAAGGTAATGGTAATGGTAATGATGGTGAAGGTAATGGTAATGATGGTGATGATGATACATCCATACCGCGGAGTAGCCATACGCTGATGTTTCTTCTTGGTTTCTCGAGGAGTATTCCACAACTCCAGTGGTCCTTGTTGGGGACTGACTACTGTAAATGGCCTGGTATTTCGTGCATTCCAGTAGAATCTACTGTAGCCTTTGTAAAAACAACAGAGAATGTAACACCAGCTGAAGTGCATGTTGACCTTAAAGGTATGGGATTACAAGGAACGTGTCCAGAAGTTCCCACCGACGTGGATCCATCGTTAGTGAGAGTGGTTTCACTGGATATGAGCGATAACGCAGGTTTGTATGGTCCACTGTGTTCATCATGGAGTTCCCTCAGTCAACTACGTAGGCTAAATCTCACTCGTACAGGCTTTTCTGGTTCTATTCCTACTAGTTGGACTAGTGGATTAGGAGCTTTGGAGAATCTAGGATTTAGTTCCATGCAGCTTTGTGGTTCACTTCCAGATTGGAGTAGTTCAGATAAACCTAATCTTGGTACAATTGATCTAAGTAATAATTATTTCCGTGGAGAGTTGTCTAGTACATTTGCATCTTTAGCAACCACTGGTAGACTAACAAATTTTTCTTTACAAAATAATATGTTCTGTGGTTGTTTACCTGATTCTTGGAGGAATTCATCCGTTCTTATTCTTGCGGCAGTTCAAGCCAATCCACTACTGGCTACACCCGCATGTGCGGCAACTAATACCTGTGTTGCCTCGGATTGTGGAACCAGTACATCTCCAGCACAATCAGCATCACCTCCAGAAAAAGTGGTATTAAGACCTTCATGGGTACAGGAACATTGGTGGATCTTTTTAATTTTCTTTATTATTGCCTTACTGGCTTTTGTTGGTTCTACTGTTTGTCTATACAGGGCACGTAAAAGTAAACGAGTGGAAAAGAAGAAGTATGAGATGCGGTATGAAGAGAATGATATGGAATTCCGTGATAACGGTCGTGACTTTTATGATGTACGGTTCCATAAAGATGAAAAGAACTTAAATGATGGCATGATGAATCGACAGTATACGCGAGTCACACCACTCCCTGAGAGAAGTCTTCAAGAAATACAAAAACAACAAGAAAAAGAAAAAGAAGTACAATCAAAACAAGATATATTACCTCATTATCAAAATGGAGAAGTGGGACATGGAGAATATCTGGTGGCCTTTCCAAGTGATGGTGAGGGAAGAACTATGACACCGCCATTTACACAAGCACGTGCGAATCTCTTTCGCCCTACACCAGCAAGAAATACTATTGATACAACTCCTCAACTGAGAGGAATTACTTCTACTACTACTACTGATAATAATAATAATAATAATAATAATAATAATAATAATAATAATAATAATAATACTTCTGCTGCTGCTGCTGGTTTGGCCTCTTCAGATGTTCGTTTGCTTGTGGGTGGTGCGAATGAAGAAGAAGAAGAAGATGAATGGTCGGCTGCAGATTTGGTAACCGCACCGGCAGGAGCTGAAGAGAAAACAACATGCAAAGCGAATACTATGGGTCCAGCAAGGGAAACTGTAACTCCTAATATAAAGAAACAATGCAGTCTCAACTCCATCGCTGCAAGTGATAACAGTGATGGGGAAATGGAGTTGAAAAAACCTCCTCGTCCAGTCTCAACAACAGCAACAGCAACAACAACAACAACAATGGCAGCAGCTTCTCCATTCCCATCAGCACCACCAACACGAGAAACCGATACACCCGTAAACACTGCGGCTGGTATTCAATATCCGGCATTTCAAACACTTCCAGAGACAATCTCTACGGGGCAAGGTGTGCCTTCTGCGTC